GAAATCAATGGCCATCTGCTTAATGAGTGGTTGTCCTTGTCCCTGGAAAGCGATCTTCGTCTTGTTGTAAATTTTCTTGGCGAATTCTCCCACGGTGTCCTTTCCTTGCGTCATATTATGTAGCTCATCTCGGATATTGCTGAAAAGAGAGGTATTCTTCATTCGCTTGGCTGGCTCCGTTACCAAATCCTTCCAAGGTATCTTCTCTCGATTCGGGATCTGTTGGTACTTCAGTTTCGCTCCACCTGTCAGGTAGAGTGGTAGTAATTTCTGCGAAATCAGATTCGGGATAGCAAGCTCATGCGTCACTTCCGAGTATTCGCTCAAGAATTCTTCAAGAGTTTTTCCCCAGAGCCTGAGAACTTGTCCAATCGGTTTCCCAGTATCTTACAGGCCTTGTATAACTGTTCTTGAAGCTCCTTGTCCGAGATAGAAGGTGTTGCGCTTCTTTCTTGTGACGTAGTTGGTTTACTTTCTTATTCCTCCTCTGGCATGCTTGATCTTCTTTCCTTTGACATAGTCGGCTTCCTTCGGTTCGCTTCGAAAATTGCTTCTCTTCGTTGCTCTCTGCGTTGGTGTTGCAATAGTCGCGCCGTGGTTGATGACGACGTATTGGACGCTGCTGGTTCTGCGAATAAAGGTTGGCGGGAAAAACAGAGTGAAGGATGAAATACTGAGATGAAATTATTTTATTCTAGTCTAAAAGAGAGGAGCTTCAAATGTAACATTTTGCTAAAAAAGTGTGATTGCAATTTCATTTTCTACTTTACAGATGATGCCCATTGATAGAGCCAAAGAGGAGTTGCTCGAGGCAGGAAATGATCAAGATGCTAAAGAAGACGTGCTGGAGGTGCCGAATGATCGGGATAACGGAGAAGTGCTTGAGGCACCAAACGGTCAAAATGATGGCGAAAGAGTGTTCGAAGCGGATGTTCAAGGGCGTTCGTCAGCAATGCTCATGTTTCTGAAATTTCGACTTCAGTTATTAACGCTATATAGTTCGAAGCCGGAACCTCCATGTAAGGCTCGGCATAGTTCCGCAGAGCAGCTAATGCTAAGACTGATGAAAATATCGTGTGTGAGATATTCAATGTTCGCCGGCCTTAACAAAACCAATTCCCAACAACTATTTATTAGCAAGGAGATGATCATGCAATAGGACGAAACAAGTGACCTTTCGGATTAAGGCAACTAAACTACAAAAGATCGCAGTGAGCCGTCGGCCAGCGGCGGTGAATCATAACGGCCGATATGAGTAAATAAAGGTGCGGTCGCTACTTGCAAAATTACAAAACAAGAGTAAGAGAGTTCGAAGAGGAAGTTAAGGACTACATTGAGTAAGAATAAGAAAAGGTACGAATGCACACCGAAGGCTTCCTACGGTCTCTTATATATATGTTTCACTAATGGATACGAACATACATAGCCACATAAAACATATAATAAAAATGGGGTTCAGGTTAACATTGCCTAATGGAGAATACACAAACTTCCTAACGGGTCCATTATCCTTCGATAGTTCCCATAAATTTCTTTCTCTTGTTCTGCTAGTTCGTTTTTCGTCATGATTGCTTCGCTATTGCAATGTTTGCTTACTCACTCGTTGTGTAAACATAGAGTCCGCTGTTCGCATTTGCGCGGAATATTCGGCAGGCACGTTACAGAAGTACTCAAGCATTCTGCTTGCCGAAGTTGTACCGCGATCCAGACCATGAAGACGTCCACGGCATCAGGACTAGACCATCTTTCCGTTGAACTTCCGCAAATCGGAATAGAAAATCTACGAAATTCTCGCGTCGCATCTAACATCTTACCTTCAAAAAAGAAAAATGTCTGACCAGTGGAGAAATGCAAGAACCGTTTTCTTCTTCAAGAAAGGCGAACGGGAGGATCTTTGGAACTACCACCCAGCATGCCTGCTGGGTGTGCTGTACAAGCCTTTCACAAAGATTATTTTTGCTTGCATATCTAAGACACTGGATGAAGCCCAACCCCAAGAACAAGCTGGATTTCGCAAAGGATTCAGCTGCATGGACCAAATCCAGACGGTTTCCAGGGTCATAGAAGAGTCTGCCGGGAGTGCCGACCGCCTCTCATCCTGACCTTCGTCGACCACGAGAAAGCCTTTGACAGCATAAACCAACGCCAATCTGTTGCTAGTCGACTGCTACAAGGACTATACGACTATGCAGCTGTTCCATCAAACCCGACCATCCCAATTGGGAGGGGCTTCCGACAAGGCCACACAATCTCACCGAAGATGTTCACCGCGGTCTTGCAGTGGGTGATGAAGTAAGTGGGACGAGAGATACTAGCTGATTCATGTCGAACCTTTGTTTTGCGGACAACATCGTTCTCTTTTTGAGTAACATCATTGAAGCAGTGACGATGCTGAAGGAGAAGAAAATCCGAGCGAATGAATCGGAAGAAGACTCAATTCTTGCAGAACGTTTTTTTGTTGAGATGCGGTAGTAGAAATGGAAGGCACCCCTATCACGTCTTCTTACGTATATATTGGACCTTCGATGAGCATGGCAAACGACGTGAGGGAAGAACTTAATAGGAGAAGAGGAGCAGCCTGGGTCGCATTCAGGCCTCTGAAGGAAGCCACTACCAACTGACAGACCAGGAGCTTCGGGCCCACCTGTTCGACTCCCGTTCTCCCGGCGCTCTGTTACGCAGCTGAGACTTGGGCCGACACTGCAGCCACGTCGAAAGCTTCACGGACCACCCACAGAGCGCTTGAGCGCAGTCTTCTGAAGATGACCCGACACAAGCAACATCTAGTCGGACTTCGCAGTACAGATATGAGAAGAATGTCCCGTCTTCGTGACGCGCGGAATACGTTGCGAAAGCGAAACACCGATGGACCATTCACATCATGTGAAGAACAGAAGACAGATGGACACTAAGAGCAATAGAGTAGATTTCTCGCAAAGCAAAACGTCCCCGAGGAAGAAGACCTTCAACGAGATGGGCAGATGGTTTGTGGAACGGATGGACCAGCTGAGAAATAAGCTGGATTCGATTTTCGCCCCTGAAACTCGTGGAGGCAGCCACCGACGGTAATCAAAAAGACTATGGATGTCTAAAGCGGGGACAGGTATCAGTGGGAGCTTCTATGCTGGGACCCGCACGTCACGTAAAGACGTGCCATCTAAGCATCTAACGCAAGTAAGCAAGTATAAGGATTGTACAAACAAGATCAGCCATTTTGTCGCCCCTTGGCCACCCAATTGAGAAGGGGAGTCCGACTAAATGACGCTGTTCCGCCGAAGCACTTCACCCGGCCTTGCAGTAGATTAAAATCGCTGACAGAGACGGAGAAGGTATACTAGTTTAGCGAGACTCCTTTCAAATCTTCGTTTCGGAGCGACATGGTTTTTTTCTCGGGCAGTATCATTGAAGCGGAGACGTTGCTGAAGGAACTTAACGGAATAGGAAAGAAGATCGGGCTGCGTATAAATGGGAAGACGATACACGTCATAAAGAACGCTTTTTGCGATAACGAGAAATGTAAGTGAAGGCAGTGGTTCCGAACACCGCCTCCTTCTAGTGAAAGATACAGTCGCAAAGGAAGGTGATCTCTTTTACAGTGTCGCAAAAAGGAGTGAGTCGCTTATGACGATCATAGGCTGGAGGAACTCGGACGCATCTCGAACCAAGAAGTCGCTCAAGAAAGAAATTTGGCAGGATCTGAATGCAGCGAATGCAGGATGTCTTGAGCCATTAAGCCACACTGAAGAGTACCAACAGGAATCTACCTGCTGCAGCAAAGACGCTTATGGCTTCAGAGCCGGCCACCTCGTTGAGCTTCTGCGAGCCGAAGTACAACGGGTCTATACGAGATTCTCGCGTTGCATCTAGCGATCTACGTTCACCCGGCAAGGGTCCCCACCTTGGATTACCTTCACGACCCTCTTTCTCTCTAAACAATACAAGCTGGAAGATCTCAAAACTTAAGGGCTAATGCACGACGAAGGCGCAGAAGCGTTACTAGTTGAGCGGGCGCAAACGTGGTGCACGCGTATCTCCACCATTAGAACCTGCGCCTCATCCGCTCTGCGGCTATAAAGCCGCGTTCGCGCCCAAAGTTATTGCACCTTCGTCATGGAGTAACCTTTAGGAACTATCGGCTAAAATGCCAACTGAGTGTGCTGTACTTTTCACTAAGACCAGCATGATTCCACATCCCTGCGGTCGGAGAGCGGCTTCCTCAATGATAAAAAAGCCGCAGGGCGTCCGCACGCGACCCCTTGATAACGGAGGACGCCGCTCCCTTCGTCGCAGGAGGTTAGTGCATACGGTCATAAGACTATCCGAGCAAGATTACCAACGAGCTCGACAGGCGCGTTCGTGCAATGGATGGACCGGCTGAGAAATGAGCTGGATGCGAATTTTGCGTTGGAACTCGCCTGCGCAGCCACCGACAACTACCAAGAAGATCATGGATCGTGGATCGTGGAATCAGAAGCGAAGGATAGGAATCAGGGCGTCTTCCGCGTTGTGGCCCTGTACGCTATGTGAAGACAGGCCATTTGAATATCTAAGTAAGTAAGCGCAATACACTGGCACTTCTCGTACTTCGTGTACGCCGCGCGCGGAAAGCTTTGCGGAAAGTTCACATAGAATGAGTTTCGACCCATTGCCGAGGGCTTGTCTTAAGAATGAACTCTCAGCAAGCATCTTGCTTCACAGCTCATTGCAAGCAATCATTGCTCAAAAACCGGCCACTCCACTGATGTCTTGTGTACCATGACTATCTGTACACCAGTTCCATGATAACTTGGGGTTATTGGGCTTAGGGCACTTCAACTTCGAGCGCCGACAAATGCAGAAAGTGAATGGAGTGAGGATTTGCCAGGAGAGCAAGGAGTTTCTGTCTTAACACGCATCAAGAGCAGCAGTCTAAGAATTACTGCGCATGATGGATGGATTCTTGAAACTTTTTCGGAGAGCAGGAGGATTCTGAAACGTATATATGCAATAATACTTCGCACCTCATTTGATGGACCAGGAATTCCAGTCCCTCCAGACTGCTGTCCCGCTGTCACTGCTGGCGGAGCTGGCTGTGTTGGCGGTGCTTCGTCTCCCGGTGCTCTTGGAAGCCTCACATCGTTGTGACAGAATACCTCGGTAGCCTGAAGCAGTACTTGGCCATGTCAGGTTACGGTATTCGTCAAGTTCCATCGACAGACCAGTAATATGGTAAGCAGAAGTATTGTCCAACGCATATTGTCGAAGTAGACAACAGAAGCTCCCGATGAAAAATGACTTCACATCCTTCATTCTTTCTTTATATACTGTCATCGTTCTGCTTATCATTATCAGAAAAATGGCTGAATTTTTTTGCAAACATGTCGAAATGTCGGTCGTGCTATCTTTGCGATTAACCTTTTTTTCTTTGTTAAACAATTGAAGACTATTCTTAGCCTAATGCATTAACTTTGATCTACAAAATCTCCAAACATGGACTCACTTAATTTTTGACGCAAGCTGACGCCCAGAATCAAGTATGAACCCAATCTGAGATAATTTATGTGGGTGGCTAGAGCTGAGTTTTGCTCTCTCTTGGACTTTTCTCCAAATTTCTGCGGACTCGAGAAGAATTTTTTTTTTAAATTAATTCGAATCTCGACAAATTTCGAAAATCTTCTAATTCATTTGAAAGAGAATCAACTCACTCGCACAATTTTTCGACCTATCGAGACAAAATCTATAATTTGCGACCCATTTTTATGCGAAGGGGGGGGGGAAGACTTTTGAGTATGCAAAAAGTGAATGCTATATATGCTAACATAATTGCAAAGGCCACATGTAGCTTTCTTAACGAATTTTTTGAGGACGCAGGCATAGGATATAGCACCTATTTACTTTTGTCTCCTACACTAAGCGTTTTGTAAGGCTTGTGAGAAAAATATAGCTCCTGATGTAAAAATTTGATTGTAATTTGAAAATTCTCCATTTTCTAAATTTTTTATGTCACATTCAAAATGCTTTTTAAGTGCCAAGCAGCATATTAGCGCACTCAAAACCACAGCAATTCATCAGTGTAACGTTCCCTTAGCTTTTAATGAATTTTTTCCAGCTTTAGCTCCATTACCAAAAACTCCATGAATATTGGCGCTTGCTTCGCGAATCTGGCGAGGATGTCTGAAATGTCCTTCCGACAAAAAATAGGAAAAAGAAAAAAAGAGGTCCATATGAAGTGAAAGCTTCTTCTGTAGACTACTCCCTCTCTTTTTGTATGTTTCAGTAAACCGATATAAACGGTGGATCAAGATTCACGGCAATTATATTTTTTCGGAATGCTATCCTAAAAATCGGTTTCATTTCGTTTCTGACAGATACGATCTCAAACCAAATCTTCCAAAAAGTGAATCTACTGATCATCCATCCATGATCAAGTGCAAAAACTCAATTTTCTATTGTAGACTCTTGTAAAGGGTATGAATTTTTGAGGCAAATCAACATTTTCACTTCTATCTTCTACTTCGCTTTTTTGGATTGTATCCGATGGAATTGGATGTTTCTCGAACAAGTCATTTCAAGTGTTTGAATAGTTGATGAAAACTGTGGGCAAGGTGGAAAATATGTGCTCCAATTGCGTCACTGCTCCGTTTCAGAACCCGAAACAAAATCGGGAAACATTGCTTTTTTCAAGCATATTCCATAGGCTATGTCATGAACCACGGCAGGAAAAGGTTTTGCAAAAAGAAAATGTCACTTATGGACGGGAAACTACATTGAGTGATACCTGTTTTGTTTGTCAGTCATTCTCCTAATGGGCTAGAATAATCAAGAAAAATGATAAAATTGGTCCAAACGGGACGAGTCAGGATGAGAATAGATCGGAAATAAAATACTCTTTATAAAAGAGAGAACTGGATCAACCTCAGAGTGTAGATTTAGTGTTTCACACTACGGTAATGTCATGCTTAGACTTGAGGCTTTTGAGCAGATTATTTCCTGACAAAATCTTACTGTATCGGTAAAGCCCACTGAATTTCTCGGAATAATCTGGACAAGGTCTAAATAAAACTGATTGGCATTTTTATTATCTTATTTTGGGATATTCCTTCGTCGAAATGCCAGAAAATTGTTTTGAAATATTCCTTCATCTATTCTACTTACAATTAGTGGTCTAATTTGATCTTGATTCATTCTATAAGAAACAAATTTCAAAACCCTTATAACAAGAGTTGACTGAAAATTTCCCCACAGAAAACGCATAGAACTTCTTCGCTAGAGAGTTCTCTAGCATAATCAATACGTTTTTTCCCACTCTGGAAATCGAGTTCTGCCCGAAACCTTATTCTTAGGAATTGAATCTCAGGGGACACGCTTTAGGATGATCTCTCAACATCCTATGCGCATCAATCATAGATAACGTCTTAGTGTGGAGTAGAGACGCTTCAAAAAATGGTGGCGGGGTGGGGAGAGGGGAGAGAAGGGTATGACGAAAGTATCTTTCTGGCGGCTCTGAACATTTTTCGATCTTTTTTGAGGATCTTTGACGTACTCGAATTCTTCGAACCAGCAATAACATAATCACATGATTTTTTGATTTAGAATCAATACCAACATGGCATTTTCAAGTAGAACTTTGGCCCGTTCAAAAAATTTATTAAATGTTTGGTGACTGATATATGGTTTTGTTACTTGTAGCACACAATGTGCAAATACAATTCGAAAAAAATTTTTCCCTTGCAAGCGCAACTTCTTACTTTTTCTAGTCATTAGTCACTCACCTATCTATAAGAACCAAATTCATTAAATATTCCGTGCATCAATGCTTTTACTTTTGACTTTTGGGGCTTTTTTCGTAAAATTCATAGAAGACACCATGACAACATTCTTTTCAATGTTTTCCGATCGTTTGAGGAGTAGTACTGCACAACAATCCCGTATTTCAGCATAATACTTTGCTACAGTAAGAAAGGAATTGGAGACAAAGTTGGAGAAGAAGGGAAATGATCACAGAGTTGAAGTTAACTACTTAGCTACATATAGTGCCCTTCAGAAAAATTTACTGTTGAAAAAGATAGTGTTATTTACTGAATGTACAATACCGTTTACGAAATGTGCAAAATTTTCGTGAATGACGCGGAATTCCGGAAATTTCGCGGAATCTTGCGACATTCCTGGAATTCAGCGACATTCCGGGAATTTTTCCGGGAGTTCTGTGAGCGGTATTGTAGAGGTGACAAAATCTAACGAAGTGGATGAAGAAAGTGTTGTGTCATGTATTCTAAAGAAACTAATAACTTCTTTTCCCCAGAGTTTTAGAAAATAATGGCAGAAAATTTTTTTACTGTGACAAATTTTTGTGAGCTCATTTCTTATAAGGTTGAACCAGAAGTTCTGTCGCACCAATTTCAAAAAATCTGACTTTTCCGCACGATAGTCTTCTGTGCCAAAAAACCACTAGAAAGAGTAAATCGTGTACTTTCTAGTATCTTGCCTACCCTCTATTCCATTTTGATTGCAGAAAAAAAAGATGGAAAAGTGAGATATGTTGAAGTTCGGTGATTCAAGGCAAACCCGATGAAAATCTGAAAACTGTACAGTAAAATCTGAGACAGTTATGTCACAAGCTCTATAATAACCTTCTCTTTCTAGCTGGGCAAAAAGCGTTGCTGATCGAGCTCTTTGAAAAGCTATAATTTTTGAGAAAAATTTCAAGAAATTCAACTTCTCCCGAGAGTGAGTTTTTGGCATTTTTGCTTGAAAATCTCAAATAAATATTAGGTCGTCCGAAAGTAATTTCGCTTCTTTCAAACGGGTGCCACATCTGAACGAACAAAGCTTTCTAAGAGATCTCAAAGGCATTCAATGCAGCATTTCATTCTCTTTCTAATGGTTATGGAACTGCTGCAATATAGTCAATGAGCTTCCGGAAAATAACCAAAATCTGCGACATTCATATCAATTTTCAGAAGGAGTTCAAGTAAAGATTCGATAGAGCAAACCTTATAGAATACTGTACAACTTTAACAGATTTTTTTAACAAAACCATTGGATTTTGGCAGGCCTACATCAGCCACAATCGCATCAAACATCATAATTATTCGGATTTTGAGACTACCAAGATGGTACTATGAGTTAGCACTAGTACAAAGCAAGTGAGAGTTTACGGATTTTTTTTTAAATTTCCAGTTTTCTGGATACAGCCTGGGGATTGCTAAAAAATGAGTTATGATGATTTTATCCCCGCAAACGAAACGAATCGGAAAAAGCCCATTAGAAAGAGGGGGAAAAGCTGCATCGAATAGAGTGCGAGCTGCTTTCTTTTGATGTTCTACGAGGATTTAGCTGCCCAAATATGAAATCGGTAGCATCAGTCAAAATTCTACTGTCACGAAGGAAGCGGTCGCACATACCATCAAGTGCACCGGAAATGAAATTCTGCATCGAATGCCTCCAAGATCTCTTAGAAACTTTGTTCCGTCACATGTGGCGCCCGTTTGAAACAAAGCGAAATTACTTTTGGAACAACCTAATAGATAGATAAAATCGTAACTTTTTGAAGAAAAGCTCAATTCGCAGATTTGTGCAGTTAAAAAGAGCAGAGTCAGAAAGCCTAGGACGCCGACTGTTTTGGATTTTATGGTGAGTTTTTTTTTGGTTTTTGAACTGCTCACCTCAAAGTTTAAGGTAACCAAGTTGCCCTTGGAAAACACATGAATTACTCTTTTCAATAATATAAATTCCGTGAAATTACATAGTGTCAGAAGGAAGTTACGATTTTCTGAAAATGTGCAAAAAACATTCGGTTCAACTTTATATATATGGCTCTTATGGTTAGTGTCATGAATTTCTTAAAACGGTAGAATACATCCCAATGCCCTGACGGCAGCACTATGGTTGGCGATTCTAGAGGGCAAATACTCCTCTAAAAAAGAGGAATTTGTAACTTGATACCCATTTCGCAAGTAAGATGATACGTTGTGTGATTGATAGCCATCACATTTTAGTGACAAAGATTCACTGGTACTCTCTCCTGGCTCAAAAATTTCAGCTGCATTAGGTACTTCTCCGCTCGACTTTGCCGAAAATGATTTTCTTATGAGAATGCTCATCACAACCGCAAAATTGACCAATTCGTTTAAAAAAACAGTCTTTATTTCATCAATTGACTTGTGTGATTGTCTCTTTGCAAAATTTGCTCTTCCAGCAGATTTAAAAAGTTTATGGGCTTTTTATCCTATTTTTTTGCAGTCCTCTTATGTTACTTTTCTTTGATTTCACCCTATCTCGTCTATCTTGAC